GTGAGGAGGGGCCATACTTCTGGCTGCACCAGCCCTGCCGGCACCAAGCCCCCCGTGGCATCCTGTTTGGCCCTCAGATCCCCTCATGAGGAAAAGACTTGGCACGCTCCTCACCACTCCAGCCCGCCCACAGCAGAGGAGACCTGCTGCCAGGGGTGTGGTGTCTCGGCCCCGGTCAGTACTGTTGAAGGGGGTTTGGAGAATCACGGAGAGGAGCTTCCAGGCTCTGGTCACACAGGCGCAGGCTGGAGCTCTGGCTCAGCCCTTGGTCAGCCCTTAATCCCTCCAAGCCGCAGCTGCTTCGGATGACAATTCTGTGTAATAAGCCCCGTTCCGCCAGGCCCCACAGGGATGGCACAGGACTGGTATGTGGAGAGCTCCCAGCTCTCTGCCGCAGCAGGCACTCAATTAAATGGGAATTTCTTCTCCTGCCTCTCAAAAGTCACCTCATTATGTGTGGCCCTGCTCTGTGGTGAGTGGTGACCAGTGATGGCAGGAATGGAATGAAAATATAGCGGCTCTGTACTAAATGTGTGACCAGGGCCAGGGCTCAGCGTGTGACCTGGAGCAGAGGTCAGCTTCCCAAGTTGCTATCCAAAAGTCAGGTATTATTCTCAGTGTCGGTCCTTAGAAGGTGATCTGTGTTTTTCTTTATCTAGCCGATTAAAAGGTTTTTTTGTCTTTGGTTTTCTGCATGTTCGTGGGTCTGTGTGGATATTTATTTATTTGCCCTGCTTGGAATTTGTTGGACTGCTTGATCTGAGTTTTGATATATATACTTAATCAATTCTGGGGATGTCATGGCTATTATCAATTTAATATTGCCTCTGTGCCATTTTGCAACTATTCGGGGGTCTGTCTCACTCTCTCTGCCATCTTTCTTAGTGTCTCCTCCATATTTTTCACTCTTTCTATTTTTGAGGCTCGGATGGCCTCGACAAGGGAAATCCATGACAGATTTTCTGCAGATCCCTCTGTTTCATAAGCAGGAAGGCGTTGGGTCACAGTGGGGGCTTGGTGGCGGGAGGGCAGACTCTCCCATTGGGATATCCTGTAGGAGGAATGGAGACAAAGGAAAAAAATAGAAAAAATTCATTGCACCTTTTTTTTTAAACTGCAGACTGCATGCATTAGAAAGCTGTGATTCAATCCAACACTTTCTCAAATAAAATAGAAAAGAAAATATCAGAGTTCAGTACATGAGGTCAGGGAAATTATTGCTTTGTGACATGCTCATTTCTGTTATGCATAGACAGACACATATAATACACACCTGTCTGTGTGCGTGTGCCCTGGGTCTCCATGCAAAATGTATTTTTTTTATTGTGGGTCGGAGTAAAAGTTATTTTAAAAGATTGGAAAACATTACACTACAGGTCTTGATATCCCTATCAATATTTCATTTTAACTCTATTATTTGATCTTATTCTGTCTCAGCTGTCATCAGGATAGCAGGCAGACTCTCTCCATATGAGACATCTGGGCAATGTGGCCGCCAGAACAGCAGAGCGGCCCCACTCACACGTGGCCTGCTAGCACAGCCCTCTCAGGTCCAAATGTCCTGTGTCCACCGTGGGGGTGATACCGCTTGAAAAACTTAAAAATCAAGACACAAGTTTGGTGGAAAGAAAAGCAGGTTTATTCAGCAGGCTGGCATTTGGGAGGATGGCGGACTCCTGTCCAAAGGCCACCTCCCCATTCGTAGACGGGTCAGGTTTTAGAGGCAGGTAAATGGAGAAGAGCAAAGGAAACAGGCCTCAGGGCTAATCGTTGAGAAGTCTTCTCCTGGGATCTTCTGAGGCCTCACGTCTGCCTCAGTGTTATCTTAAATTTCATTGTCCATAGCCATTTGCCCAAACACTGCTAGGAGTTGTGAAAAACTGCTGGGGAGTTGATCTTGGGTCCTGACATCCAGGCCCAGGCACCTGAGGGTTAAAGAAGCTGCTCTTTCCAGGTTAGGATGTTAATGGATGAGGTATGCTTTGAAAAAAAAAAAAAAAAGTTCTTCAGTTAATCAGTGGGAGGAGAAACAAAGAGGAAACAGCTTAATATCAGAATGGGTCAAACTGTAAACTAGCTAAAGTTAATCACATTATTGATTTACCACATTTCACCCTTACGTGGGGATGACAGGGACTGCAGGCGAGGGCCCTGGCCAGAGCGGCCACGTCAGTCCTGGGTCTCCAGCTCTGCTCTCCTCTGCCCCACTTACCAGATGGCGTCCATCCCACCCGGACCCACGGCCACCCAGGATGGACCCTCCATCCTCTTGTAAAACAAAAACGTAACTTCCATGGGGAAACTGAGACACAGGAAGGGGACAAGTGCTGAGTCTCAGCCATTCAGTGGCAGGGACAAAGAGCCCGCCTGCAGTGCTGCCCTGACCCCTCCGTCAGGCGGCTGGGACGCGACTGCTGGGGGGGTGGTGCAGACCAGAGCCCCCTCCCACTGGCCCTTTCACTGCCTGCACTGAAGGGGTGACAGCCCCAACCACAAACAAGGGGGGCTGCTCCTCGCTGGGCTTTGGGTGGCTGGGAGAAAGGGTGGGACCTGGGGAGCGGGGACATCGCCCCATGTGGCAGGACCTCTGGGGCCAGGAAATCTGGAAAGCCCTGCCCCAGCAACCCTTTCCTTCAACTCCCCAGCTCCACACCACAGCCCTCTGTGCAAGGGACCATGACACCACCCACCCGCCCCTGTGCAGTGGGGGGACTCAAGGGTAGGGGTGTGTATGGCGGGGAGAGGTGCTTTGTGAGCAGAAGAGTTTGAAGATCCCACGACACCTAACTGGCCGCTCCCAGCAAGTGGGTCATCTCCTGCCTCCTGACCTCACCATTCTGCCCCTTTCTGTGGCCTTGGGTAAGGGCCTGGTCCCTCTGGCCTGCCCCAATGGCTTCAACTCTGTGGTTACTAAGCCTCCAACGTCAGAGTAGTGGAGGGTCCTTGAGACTGGGGTGGGATGTGTGACAATGTAGGCAAGCCTGTCTGTGGGTGGGGTGCTTGCGGTTTGGTAGATGAGGGACTCTCTGGGAAGAACCCCTGAGTCTGAGGGACCTCCCATGCCAGGACACTCCTTCTCACCCAGGCATTTCCACGTCATCCCCGGCACTTTTAAGAATCGTCTTTCCACACCCCCTCTCCACATCCAAGTGTGGACTCCCAGACCTGAATGTGGCCTTGGCCAGGCTATGCACTTGAGAGAACCATCCCTCCACATGGAACCGGAGCCACTGTGAGCAGTTGAATAGAAGGTGACAGTGGCTCAGGCTCAGGCCGTTCTCTTCATCCAGGCCTAGAGCACCGCCTGCTCACACAAACGATGTTTGCCGCACACTTTGGTTCATGGACTGTTGCCACGCAGCTGTCCAGCCATCTGTCCCCCCACACTTAACCCTAAACTGACCCTTTTGAGGACACTGTTCATACACCTTGCATTTCCCTGTTTGGCTCCAAAGCATGGCCGGTTAGTCAATGACGGGTAAGATTCCTCGTGGGAGGAACAACCTAAGACAGGCACGGTCGGGTGGAGGCCATCAGGAGAAATCTCAGGGTTGATGGAGGTGGGCATGAGCCCTCACTCACCCCCCAAAGAGACTGGAGGTTGTCTATCTCTGTAGCTACATTCCTTCCCTCAACCTGCTTGGGAAGTGACCTGATGGTGTGATAGTATCTGTCCTCAGTACAATAATCTTATCTTCCTGGGGTCATTTGCATGCGTATAGGGTGTGTGAAGGCAGAGCATCTGTCTTATCGCTGTGGGTGGATTCTCCGTAATAGCAGCTCGCAGGCAAGGGTATTTTGGCTTGAGCAAGTTCTCAGGGATGAGACTCACAGACTGTGGAGAGAACAATGCTACTTCCAGGTAGGTGGAGAAATAAAAGCGGTGTGTCGGCCGATTCGGGGCTCTTAGTCCACGAGGCTGGAGACCCCTGGCCCCACGCTCATCTAACTCTTGGCTGCTGTTTCTTTTGTTTCTTAACCCTTCACCACCCCCTCTCATTCTCCCACTGCTCATGCCGTGCGGGATGTGACAATGGACGTCACATCCAATGCCCACGTGTGCAGGTCTAATGCCCACATGCCAGAGCTGAGTCCTGCCCACCCCACCCTGCAGCAGCCCCAGGGACAATCACTTGCCTGTGCCCCGCCCACCACTTCATTTCATAGGGCTTTTTCCTCTGTCCATCGTGAGCGGATACCAGTTTACTGAAAATATCTTCGGTACTGTCATTCCTTTTTGATTGCTGTGTCATGATAACACGCAAACTTTTTTGGTTCATACTCTTGAACGTATTGTTCGATTACTTAAACGTATTTTCTCTTAATCCAACGAAGAGATTTTCTTATGTTTCTTCTTAAAAATGCTAAGTTTCCCATTTTCAGTTTGACTTTTGACCCATTTGAAACGTTTTCTCTCTGACACCCCTGCCACTGTCCAATCTGGTCTGGGGCGAAATTCTGCCACCCTTCCTCCTCTGCCCTGCAGGCCCGCCTCCTACACACCCGGGTCCGTCCCCCCCCCACACACACCATGCGGCTCCACCAAGCCTACTCCCTGCTGTTTCTAAAACATTTTTAACTTTGCAATTTGAAATCAGTTCATACTTACAAAGAAGTTTCAAAATAGTCCACAGTTTCTATATTTGCTTCGCCCAGTTTCCCCAAATGTTAACTTCTTACATAACGGCATCTCCAAAGTCAAAGACGAGAAATTAGCCCCAGGCGGGACTCGCATGTATCCTGACACAGACCGTGTTGACATCTCCCCCACTGTCCACCAGTGTCCTTTCCCTGGGTCCAGAGCCCAGACCCAGAGCTGGCAGGGTTTCTCCCATCTTGTCCACTAGTCCCCTCACCCTGGGACATCCCCTACCCCCCATCTCGCCATGTGCACTCACTCAGCTCACTTGCAAAGGTTTGCTGCCCGCCCATAACTCTGCCTGCGTCTGGTTGCCTTGCCCCATCCTGAGCACCTCCCCCTCGCCCCCGCTCTGCAAGGCCTCCCACCTCTGCCTGAGACCCTGACAACTCCTTGTCCGAGCAGCCCTCGCTGGCGTTGACCCAGCCTGTTCGTCTCTGAATGAACACCAGGGCCCCGAGCTCCTTCAGGATGGGAGCTGGTTCTCTGCTGGACGTGGGAGCTCCTCAAGGGAAGGCGAGGAACCAAGGGGGATGCCCAGAGGCTGTACCCCAACTCACACACACGCACACACAAGCCTCCTCTGCCCACGGCACGGTGGACAACACAGGAGAGTCCCCAGGTGAGGGCGTCTGTGGGGGCTCCCACGCCAGGCTGTGGAGATCCATGAGGCGGCCCCCACTGCACACTTAGGACCTGGGGGGTGGCCAGGTCCCATCTTCTACGGCCCAAATCAGTTCATTTCCATTTAACATTTTCTTTCTGAAACTTAATGCTTTCATTACACTAAAAGTGCCTGTTCCTGTAGAAAGTCCTAAGAAGTCATCCAAAAAATAAATGTCCTGGACTAGGGGCTTTTTTGGTGCTTTCTGAACTGTGGGTGGTGAAATTGGTATAGTGTCTTTTTATTAGATTTTTTATGAAAAATAGAGTGAAATGAGGTAACCCTGGATAGAATAGAAAATATTGGGCTGCCGGTTAGCTCAGGTGGTTAGAGCACAGTGCTCATAACGCCAAGTTGCTGGTTCGATTCCCTCAAGGGCCACGGAGCTGTGCCCTCCAAACTAGATTGAAGACAACTACTTGACTTGGGGCTGATGGGTCCTGGAAAAACACACTGTTCTCCAATAAAATCCTTGAAAGAAAATAAGATATTGAGTGCCCCCCACAGTAAGAATTTATATGCGTTGGTCAGAATGAAAAATACATTTCTTACCATGGGATTTTGGTAAAAACTGCGTAAAAGTGTGCTTGCTATGGCGTGAGTCTCCTGGAGGGGGGTGGGAGGGACCCCGGCCTCCCCTGGAAGAGGATGACTGTGGCTGGGCCGAGCTGGGTGGTGGCCTGTCCTTCACCACGGGAACGCCAACCAAGGCTGGGCCTCTCCCACAGCCTGAGCCCCACCCATGGCCCAGAGAGAACTCTCCCTGGGGACCCAGGCTGAGACCTGGCCTCAGGGGTGCCAGGGACTCAGGGACTCTCCCTTCTCTTGCCAGACCCTTAAGTCATGAGTGAGAAGTTCAAAGTGCCATGACACATATAGTAGATTAAATATCGTTATGACAAAGCCATTTCTAAAAAATTCGTATCTTCCCTTCCCTTCCATGGCATCCAGAGAAGTCCCTCGGAGTGACAGCCTATGTGAGTGTGAGGAGTACTGACAGCAGCCCAGTCCTCCACGCCGACACCCCTGCCACTCCCTGCAGTGCTGATCAGGGACAGACGCCAGGCCAGTCCCGCCAGCACCTTCCCGCTCTTCAGCGGCCCCAGCTCCTGGCCAGCCTCGCTCCAGCTGTTCTCCAGCCCCAGCTTCCTCCCCCAGTCCTCCCGCCTTCCCTCAACCCTTCCAAGGGCTCCACCAGCATCCACTGTGGGCAGAAGGCTCTCCCGTCTCACCCTGCCCCTCCTCCCTTATCCTCCACAGGCACCCCTGCCAGTGGTTTTCTGCATCTCTCGCTCCCTTGGTGTCTGCTTCCCAGAGCACCCAAACTGACACGCTCCTCACCCCTCCACCCCCTCCCCTTCCCTTCCATTCCCGGAATGGAGAAGTCAGCTGGGGACATGGGATGGTGTAGGGAGCCACCCAGTGGGCCCCGTGACCAAGGACAAAGGGTGTGCAGGGAGCAGCACAGAGGTGGCGGAACACTGGCAGGTTTCCAACCCGAGTAGACATGTTGTCTACTGCATCCAAATGGTCAAGGGGCAGGGCGTGAGGACAGCCTGGCTGTCCTCATTTGGGAAGCTGAGTGGTGAGTTTTCTGCATTTCCTGGTAGAATTTTACAAAGAAGCTGGTCTACAAAGGTCTCATGATGCTAGCAGGAAATGACACCTGAATCTCTGCACTAACCATCCCCGACTTCTCAGCTCACAGCTGTCGCCCCCTGCTGACCGAGTGAGGCAGAGCACACCGATCCCTCTCCCCCGGAGAGAGCCGGATCCGACACAGATAGGGCCTGGAGGGGTGCTGGAGCTGGCCAGCTCTGCCCAAAGGGAACCTCCTCTGATGGGCAACCCGCTGGCCGGGCTGAGGAGTTTTAGAACTGTGTTGATGTCAGAGTCCAGAGCGAGTCTGCCGAAAGCAATGGTCTGTCTGTGTAAGAGGCACCTCCAGCCTCTGGCGATTTGGGGTCCCAGTGGCCTAGGATAACTGATTTCAGCCCCTCAGGTGGCAGAGGGTCAGTCCTGGCCTTTGCTGGCTGCTCTCTTGCAGGAGCTCAGAGCCACACACGGCTCTCCAGCCTAGCTGGGCTCCCAGAAGAGCTACAGGGTCCTGGTGCCAGTGCCTGACTGGACATCCAGGGCCCACTCCCCAGTGGGACAGCAGCAGGTGTCCCCACAGAGGGGCTCTTCCCTACCCCCAGGACACCTTGCAAAGCTGGGAGCAAATTTTCTTGTGGGGTGGGGGGAACTCTAAGTCTCAAGTTGGGGAGATTGTCTGGGCCTGCCTGGAGGCTTCTCAGATAAAAGCAGCTACGGAAAAAGGATGAAACTGGCCTGTCCACAGGGCCGTGTGCGTGAACCCTCCTAGCGTCCAGGAGAATGGAGAACTGATCGGCAGGACTGACCACAGCCGCCGGGTGGACTGGTGGCCGCCTCCCAGCCTGCAGCAGGGTGCACTTCCAGTGTTGGCTACCAGAGGGCGCCCGAGGGCCGCGGAAAAAGGGCTAGCACCAGGGACAGGGACACAGGCCCCGCCCTCAGGCTGGCCTGGAGTGGGCGCTCCCAGAGGCCTCCGGGGCCTTCCCAAGGCCACCGCCGGTGTGGAAGAAACCCGCGCTGCGGAACCCCTAGGAGGGCTGAGAACTTGGTGGGCGGTGGGGTCGGGATGGCCACTGCCTAGCTGAGGGGGGAATGCAGGACCTTGGTCCAGTAGGAGGTGGTGTCTTTCCCATGCACTGGGGTGGGCGGCTAGAGCGGCCTTGTGGTGAGAGAGGCCCCCGGCCCTCTGTGTCTCCATCAACCACACACACATGTCAGNCAATCCTCGCCTCTGTCCTAGGTGCTGAAAAACTTCCAGGTGGAAACGCTAACGCAAGACGATATAAAGATGATCTACCGGTTCATACTGATGCCCTCCACCCTCCCACTCCTTACTTTGCGGGCCATCAATTAGTCATATCACCGCACTGCTGGGCCAGCCACGCCACCGTCCATCCGCCAACCCCTTCTGCCTGACCCCGGGTCACCCGTTTTCTCCAATGGTCCCTGCTTCCTGAGCCACGTCACAGTCCAGCCGGCACCTTGCACAAATAGAACAGCCCAGGGCCTCAGACGTCAGGCCTTGCCAGGCTATGCAGCAAGGACAGGGCAGAGCTAGGGATGAGGCGGGTCCTGGTTATGTGCCCAGTCCCTTCTCTAGCAAGGAACACCAGCTGAGAGCCTATGAACAAGGGGTTGTCACCCCAGCATGCTCCAGGCCTGTCATGAGTCCATCTAAGGGGCTTCTGACCCTGTCCCCTGCCTCTCTGTCCAGTCTCATATGCTCTCTGTACTCAGCTCTTCCCCCATGCGAGAGACGGTACTTTAGGTCCCCTGTCCCGCTCGTTGCTGTTGCAAACGCTGCACTCCTTGTCTGCAATGCCCGTGCCTAGAGTTGACCTTCAAGCTGGGCTATTTATCCACTGCTTGTTCCACTCAGCCCACGCGGGCTCCTCCTGGCAGTGCCAGTTCTCTGTGATTGTGGCTCAATCTCCCAGCCAAGGGCCTGAATAGACAGGCCATCAGCAGTGTTTAACAGAAGAATGGCCACCAGGGAGCCAACTTAGATATCTGGGCCAATGACCCCCGTCTGAAAGCAGAGAGGATGGTGAACCCCACTGGCTAGCATCAGGGTGACTACAGAGAAGCTTCCAGAAGAAGAGGATGGGGCCTCCTTGACCACATGCAGCCTCACGCTCCCTTTAATAAAGCCCTTTGTCTAAAGTGCTGACTGCCCCTTCACACTGACCCATAGGAGAGGGGCCACCCTGACTTCATGGGTGGAAGAGGCTTTGTACAGCTGAGAGTTAACTGGGGTCTCCTAGCTGGCAGGAGCAAGCAGTCTGTCCCACACCATGTAGGGCCCGGTGACACCTCCACACACACGTAGGAAGGGAGGCAAGGCTAGGTGGTGGGGATTCTCCCTCCCCCCCCCCAATCTCCTCATCTGGTGAGAACCAAGGTGCTCAGTTCTCACCAAGGCGGTGAGGAGGGGCCATACTTCTGGCTGCACCAGCCCTGCCGGCACCAAGCCCCCCGTGGCATCCTGTTTGGCCCTCAGATCCCCTCATGAGGAAAAGACTTGGCACGCTCCTCACCACTCCAGCCCGCCCACAGCAGAGGAGACCTGCTGCCAGGGGTGTGGTGTCTCAGCCCCGGTCAGTACTGTTGAAGGGGGTTTGGAGAATCACGGAGAGGAGCTTCCAGGCTCTGGTCACACAGGCGCAGGCTGGAGCTCTGGCTCAGCCCTTGGTCAGCCCTTAATCCCTCCAAGCCGCAGCTGCTTCGGATGACAATTCTGTGTAATAAGCTCCGTTCCGCCAGGCCCCACAGGGATGGCACAGGACTGGTATGTGGAGAGCTCCCAGCTCTCTGCCGCAGCAGGCACTCAATTAAATGGGAATTTCTTCTCCTGCCTCTCAAAAGTCACCTCATTATGTGTGGCCCTGCTCTGTGGTGAGTGGTGACCAGTGATGGCAGGAATGGAATGAAAATATAGCGGCTCTGTACTAAATGTGTGACCAGGGCCAGGGCTCAGCGTGTGACCTGGAGCAGAGGTCAGCTTCCCAAGTTGCTATCCAAAAGTCAGGTATTATTCTCAGTGTCGGTCCTTAGAAGGTGATCTGTGTTTTTCTTTATCTAGCCGATTAAAAGGTTTTTTTGTCTTTGGTTTTCTGCATGTTCGTGGGTCTGTGTGGATATTTATTTATTTGCCCTGCTTGGAATTTGTTGGACTGCTTGATCTGAGTTTTGATATATATACTTAATCAATTCTGGGGATGTCATGGCTATTATCAATTTAATATTGCCTCTGTGCCATTTTGCAACTATTCGGGGGTCTGTCTCACTCTCTCTGCCATCTTTCTTAGTGTCTCCTCCATATTTTTCACTCTTTCTATTTTTGAGGCTCGGATGGCCTCGACAAGGGAAATCCATGACAGATTTTCTGCAGATCCCTCTGTTTCATAAGCAGGAAGGCGTTGGGTCACAGTGGGGGCTTGGTGGCGGGAGGGCAGACTCTCCCATTGGGATATCCTGTAGGAGGAATGGAGACAAAGGAAAAAAATAGAAAAAATTCATTGCACCTTTTTTTTTAAACTGCAGACTGCATGCATTAGAAAGCTGTGATTCAATCCAACACTTTCTCAAATAAAATAGAAAAGAAAATATCAGAGTTCAGTACATGAGGTCAGGGAAATTATTGCTTTGTGACATGCTCATTTCTGTTATGCATAGACAGACACATATAATACACACCTGTCTGTGTGCGTGTGCCCTGGGTCTCCATGCAAAATGTATTTTTTTTATTGTGGGTCGGAGTAAAAGTTATTTTAAAAGATTGGAAAACATTACACTACAGGTCTTGATATCCCTATCAATATTTCATTTTAACTCTATTATTTGATCTTATTCTGTCTCAGCTGTCATCAGGATAGCAGGCAGACTCTCTCCATATGAGACATCTGGGCAATGTGGCCGCCAGAACAGCAGAGCGGCCCCACTCACACGTGGCCTGCTAGCACAGCCCTCTCAGGTCCAAATGTCCTGTGTCCACCGTGGGGGTGATACCGCTTGAAAAACTTAAAAATCAAGACACAAGTTTGGTGGAAAGAAAAGCAGGTTTATTCAGCAGGCTGGCATTTGGGAGGATGGCGGACTCCTGTCCAAAGGCCACCTCCCCATTCGTAGACGGGTCAGGTTTTAGAGGCAGGTAAATGGAGAAGAGCAAAGGAAACAGGCCTCAGGGCTAATCGTTGAGAAGTCTTCTCCTGGGATCTTCTGAGGCCTCACGTCTGCCTCAGTGTTATCTTAAATTTCATTGTCCATAGCCATTTGCCCAAACACTGCTAGGAGTTGTGAAAAACTGCTGGGGAGTTGATCTTGGGTCCTGACATCCAGGCCCAGGCACCTGAGGGTTAAAGAAGCTGCTCTTTCCAGGTTAGGATGTTAATGGATGAGGTATGCTTTGAAAAAAAAAAAAAAA